GGCGCACCAAGAGATGGGCCCAGGAGGCAGCGCGCCGCCGCCACAGCTCAGGGCCGTCCCCTGTGCCTCCCCCCTCCCCAAAACCCAAAACGAGGCGACACGGGACCGCGGAGCAGCGCGGATTGGGGTGGACGGGAAGAGCAGCGAATATGCCTTAACGAGGTGCGTGAATGCGCGCGGGCCCCTGCCTTCCCCATGTCATTCGCGGCCAGGCATGGGGAAGATGCGCGCATCCCGCATGTGTGGGGGAAGCATCCTATTTTAAAAGTGGTGCCGGTGGCTGTATGTGGGTCGGTCACGAGAGTCGGTTTCTAGAGGAGGGGGCGCGCCGCTACGGCACGCCCCGCGCGTCGATTCGAAGAGGGGTCGTTTCGAGTAAAAGCGCATGGCATGTGCATGGGGCGGCCAAGGGCGGGCGGCCTTCGGCCGCGCCACGCCGCGGCGCGGGCGCCACAGGTTCAAGTACGTGTCATTGTGTGCGTATGTGCGTGTGTGTGTGGCACCTGGCCGCGGGCGATCCCCATAGTATTGATATGCCAATTAGGGGTGTGCGCGCGCGCCACGCGGTGGCGTGTGCGGCCGCGCCGCGCCCGGGCGCGCGGGCTCGCCGCGCGCGGGCAATGTGCGCGCGCCGGCGCGCGTCTGTGCGTGTGTCGAGTCAACGGGTCAGCGCCGGAGGGGCGGCGCCGGGCCATGGGGCCCGCAACGGGGGCGGCGCGTCATTGCGACGCGCGTCCGAAAAAGGAAGCGGAGGGGCTGTGAGCGGCGCTGCGTGCGCGCCCAGGGGGAAGGGGCGGGCGGCTGCGGGCCCTGTTGGGCCGCGCGCGCCGCGCGGGCCGCGGCGGCCGGCCGTCCTCTGCAAAACTGTACAAGAGCCGCGGGGGCGCCAGGGCGCGCCGCGGGGGCGCTGAGGCTTTATGACGCCTTCCCGCCGCTCGCGACCGGCCCCTTGCTGCGGCTGCGCTGCACGACCACGCCAGACGCGTCCTCCACGCCAGCGGCCGCGAGCGCGCCGCCGGGCAGCATGCCGGCAAGCAGTAGCCGCAGCGACGAGTCCAGGCCGCCGGCGGCGCCGCTGAAAGCGGAAAGGCCGACGGCGGTCGCCGTGCTGGCCAGCGCCGACCCCGGCGACGCACCAGCGGCGCCGTTAGTGCTCGCGCTGTGCGCGCGCTCAAGGCAGAGCGCCAGGCCGGGCGGCGCGGGGAGCGCGCCGGGCGCGCCAGGCGGCGCGACGAGGGGGCTGCTGGGGGCGCTGCCCTGGCCCTCGTGCTTTGGCAGCAGCTGCGACAGCGACTGGGGCGCCGCCGCAGGGGCGGAGAGGCCGAGGGCCTGCAGCAGCGAGGGCGGCGCCGACGCGAGCAGCGACAGCGGGGGCGGCGCGAGCAGCAGCTGCTGCTGCTGCTGCTGCTGCTGCTGCTGCTGCTGCTGCTGTGTAGCGCCCGCGGACGCCACGGTGCGCTGCTGCTGCTGCTGCGCTGTCGCCGCGTGCTGCTGCAGCTGCTGCAGCAGTGCAATCTGCTGCTGCCGCTGCTGCTGCTGCTGCCGCTGCTGCAGAGCCGCCGCCTGCTGCTGCTTGATCGCCGCCACGAACGCCGCCGCCTGGCCGCCCGCGCCTGCGCCCGCGCCCTCCTCACCGCCCCGCCCCGCTGCGGACGCCGCCGGGCGGACCGCGGATGCGGCAAACGCAAGGTGGTGCGCGCCGAGCGGCAGCGCGCCCGAGGCGGCCTCAAGCTTGACCGCGGCGTGCGCGGCCTGGAGGGAGGTGTGCAGGGCCACGAGATCCTCCTGGATCTCATCTGTTGGCTCTTCGGTTTCCGCGTCTGGCGGGGGGGCGTCCTCGAGGGCGTCCTCCACGCCTGTGTGTGTGTGTGTGTGTGTGTGTGTGTGTGTGTTGTGT